ACGCCCGATTGATAAATCGTCGTTATAAATGGGAAGGGCAGAGCTAAGTGGCGTGCGGGCTCTACTCGGCATCAATTATCCGGGTAATTGGAAAAGTACGATACACGGTGTTCGGCCGGGGATCGATCGATCGCGGAGCCGGACAGCGGAATTATTTGTACAATCGGGGAATTGAGTGGCGTGGCATCGATCTTAAACTCGTTGGCTAGCCAATTTGTTCGGATTCCCCGCGCACTGACGTCGCGGAGACTGATTGTGAGTTTTTAAGAATCGTTCGCGAGGATTCGTTCTCGTCGCGGTTACTGTTCCCTTTGGGGAAATTTATTGGATTTATCGGTGAACCGGCGAGGCTATAAATTCTGTGAACTTCCTGGGATACTCCGCGACTCGCATGAAATATTGTAGAAGTAGATTCTCCGATAGAATTTCATTGGATCGCTTGAGTAACGCGGAATGCTTGTCCCCGTGTTCTGTAATTTAAACATTGTATCTCGAAACAAAGGGACTCGAAGGGAAATTATTCGATACAAAGGAGAGAAGACGAAATGATTTCAATTGCGAGAACTTTTAGACGCTTATCGGCGTTCCCCGAGTATTGATCTAATTCCGAGGCAGTCGATCATTTCTTCGATATCATTCTCGGCACTCGGCCAAACGAATAATTTGGACAAATGTTACAGCGAGCATCAATGTAGCGCATGAAAGGGCCGTTTATCGTACAATAGGAAAAGAAAAGGAAGAATCGCGAGGCGAACGGATAGCTGGTTCCACCGGGACCGCGAATGGGGCGAGCTTTTGCATACAGTGACCAATAAGGAAGCTCGTTCTTCCGCCTCCATGGCACGGCTGCGGCGAGTGACAATAATTCAGCTGGTGGCTCGCGGTGGGGCGATAAAACTGATAATTACGAAATATTACGGTCTCGTAATGGCTCGGTATTTTACAATTTGTGTCGGCGCGGTCTGGATGCCGGCCGAGGCAAACTTTGCCCGATAAAACGAACAGTAACCACGAACGACGATAATGTCGTGGGATTTTCATTGAGAACGGCTTATCAAACGCCGCGCAACATTATGGTATTATGCTCCGCGGTCATCATTGTTCTTCAAACGTGATCCGTTTCGTCCGTCGAACGTGGAATTGTCCGTCTCTCAAAGTTCATTTATTGTTTACTTTTCCCCTCGCTTATCTTAAGCTGCTCGTATTTAATTGGTATCGTACAGTTCACAATAGCGCCAACTATGTAGTTCATATGATAGATTTGTAATTGCAATTGTTTCTTTACGCATAGAATAGTCCGATGAATGATAACTTTCACTAACATTAAAGTATCGAAATCATTTCTTACGGTTCTCGAATATGAAAGTGAGAAAGTAATTGGAAGCCATTGTTCCACGGAGACCCTGGGAATAGGATATTGCGCCACGAATGCATCTAATGAATTCGGTAAAATAAAAAGAAGTGTATCGCCGGTCGGCGAAAGAAGTAGCAACGAAGGCGCCGGAATGTGCGTGGAATGTTAGAACCATGTTGCGTACTCTTCGGTATTGGGTTAATTGCCTGCTGCGTGAAACGAACGACACAGAAATATTTCCCGCGATTATCGTTCTCCAGAAATCGATAGAGAGACCGCGCCGGGATCTTATTGGCTCGGGAATTCTTCAGATACTGCGAATTCGCGGTTTGATAGATCTCGGAAAACTTTGAGTGTTCTCGGATTAATCCTCGTGCAGAAGCACGCAAAATATCCACCCATGAAATCGTTCCAGAGAAAGTCAGCGTCGAACGCGTCTGTTCATCACTTGCTGTTTCCACTTACCGCGCGCTGATGCTAATGCATTCTACCCCTCGAAAAGCGTTTCCCCTGGCGCACAGAATTTCGTATGAAAAGAAAGTCAATAAATCCTATAGCATCGTTGCAGTCTACGCGTGCATTCTACGCGAATGCAACAGAACCAACAGAACTATTCCAACGGACTGACCAAACTGCATCGCATATGTCCCCACCACAAAGGTAACTCCGCTTCGTTCCAAATTAATCCCTCGACGCAATTATTCGACACAAATGATATTACACGACTGTAGTTTAACGTATACGAACCATACAACTTCCTGATACCCGAATCTCCAACGAAACGCATTACGATTTAACGAATCGATCGCAGAAAACAGGCGGATACCTGTTTCACCTCGCATTATCTCGATGGTGCTCGAATATTATCCCCGTTTCAATTGAACCGCCGAAGCCATCGCCGCGAACACGTCGATTCCATGAACAAACGCGTTAGCCCACCCCGGTTAATCGACGGGGCCCATTTACTGGACGCGCGACAAGGGGACAGTGTATCGTGTGTCGTCAATCGACACCTCGAAGACCTCCTACGTCTCCGCTTTCCCTGAACAGTATCGAAACGGACGATCGGGTTCCCTGAAAGCCGATTGAATTATGGCGAGGCGTGTCGCGGAATCGGCGAGCGACGACGCGGCGAGCCTCGGTTACACGCGTACGCGCGCGAATTTGGCACGGTTCCACGTATTGTTTTCCGGGAACGCGTGATCGATCGGGCGAAAGCATAAGGCATCCGCTTCCCAGGCGAACGAACAGTCGGCCTGTTTGCGTGTCCGTAATCGGAACCCGCGCATCGCGGGATCGTAAGTGGCCAGGGGCGATTATTTGCGCATAACTTCGCGAGCTATGCCTCCCCGGAGAGCGAGCGAGCGAGCGAGCGAGCGAGCCGCCGCGTAACCGCTTATACGCTGTTAACGGTCACGAGAGTCGAATCGGAATCGCGGGAGACGACAATCGCCCCGAGCTCCGTCTTCGAGAAGCCGAAGATAGATTATCTGCTTGTTCGAGCGCGTATTTCGCTGCAGCTGATAATCGATGATTGGGCGGAAGAAACGTTTTATATTGTGTGTTTATGGATTTTTTCGAATTCAATGGGAAAGATGGATGTTTCGGATGTACCGCGGAATTGAATGGATGTAGGTGCGCTGGATTTTTTTGAGAATCGTAAATACTCGAGTGGAACGTTGTATAGATACGAATAATCTTGGTTATCGTTGGATTGCACATTCTGGGAATTTTTAGCTGGTCGAGGAGAATAAGGTGGAATGCTTTGTTATACGGAATTGCTATTGTCTTCGTATTTTTAACTTATCCGGGGTACAGGTATGGGAAATGAAATTTTGCCCTAGTTCCGCGGTTCCTGACAATGGACCCGCGAATTTGCATGAAAGTCCGCAGTTTAAAGACTCGCCGGGACTTTGGCTGGAAGTATACGAGTCGAACGCTTTCGAATATTATATTCCTCGGGGATAATGATTTCGGAGAGGACGAAAAAGTTTCCGTCGCCGCGGAGCACTCTCGAACAGGCGTTTCATTTAGAAAGATCTAGGCCTCGTTGAAACCAACCAGTCGAGAGGTCCTTATCCAATAATTAAACGGGATCGGCGGGGGGAAAAAAGTGCACGAAAAAAATGCTCCAGATAGCGACTGCACGGCTCCAGAAGCCCGATCAAATGTGGCATTCATTTCGTGCGACCGGGTATAATCATTGACTTAATTAATTTTTTTCTCTGTCCGATGATTGATTTCAGAGCGAGTTCGAGCCGCAATGTCACGTGTTCCGGACGAAGCAGTTGCGCAAGCCGCGGCCGTGCCATTTGTGCCATCAGGCGGTGATCAAACAGGCGTCGTGCTGCCGAGGTGAGTCGATAAAGCGATTCCCTGTGGGAAAGGCAGAACTGGGAGTGGAGCAGTCGGTAAATTGAAGCGACCGACGGTGAAACAGGGAAGTGGGAGAAAAAGGTGGCGGGCTGTTCGAACGAACTTTGACTGATATTCTCCAATCACTCGTTAATTTATTCGAACGATTTGTTACCTTTTTGGTAATTCTTTTCTAAGTTCTCCGAACTTTATATTTGACAGAAAACTTCGAGTTAACTCGTATTCTTTTGTGATGGGTTTTGCAATAGAAACTTTTAAATAATTGTTCCAAAAAGACTCAGCTTTACTCGAAATCTACATTTCTCAAATTATGAAATATTACGAACATCTCACATTTATACTTAACATTTCAACTAGATTTCTAGATACTCTACATACCCATCGCAAGTATTAACAAATAGAACTCTCCTAAAAACCGCGCTCCGATTCACTTCCTGCCAATTTACATGTCAAACGCTTCAGTACCATATTCAAGTCTCCCAAAACAATAACAACGAGCATTCTAACAAAACCTTTTTCTCAATTCCAGTGTGCAAGTACATCTGCCACAAGACCTGCGAGGACAAGGTAAGCAACGATCCCCTTGCTATCGCTTCTTCCCCGTCCCGATGCAGCGAGAAGAACCACTCGGGTCCTCCAGCGTTCGCTCGCGCGCGCGCGCGTCACTTCTAAACGGATTAGTATCTACAATCGCGCAGCGCCTTCTCAGAAACTTTGTGACAGAGTTGAGAGCACTTCCTCGTACATGAAGAGGCTCTCGCCGAGCCAGCTCGCTCGCTGTACTTCCTGGTGCTCAAACAAATCTCCCGTGCCTCGAACACGCGAAACAAAACGTTCCGCGACAAGACCGTTCCATCGAGGCAGATAGCAGCCGCGTCGTCGCGTTGCCAACTTTTTCGCGTCTCGAAAAGATACAGGCCTGTTTCGCGGAACAGTGCCGGAAGTCATCGGTAGCTAAACTCGCAGATCCCAGTTAGCAGATGCATCTTAATTCGAGCACGCCACCGGGTGGCGTGGCCGATGAGATTCCCCGGTTCCTCGAACTGTTCGCCGATATGGCGACGTCTCCGGCCCGTGTGAGCGTGCGTCCATGATAGATCTCTGCTCTCCAACGGTGGTTCGTTGTGTGAAATGCGGTGTGGGTTCAGTCACCGGACAGGGCACGAGCCTCGCTTACTTACCTTACCTTCTTCGTATCTCCAGGCACTCGTGTGTCACACCGGCGCGCATACGCTCTTAAGCCCCCTGCACACGTTCAAACATGTTGCGGTGCATTGACTCCTAGGCTCCGCGAAACCTGCATCACCGTCAATTTGCTTCGGCGCTACCGATTCTTCTCAGTTTGTCGTGCGACGGCAGCTTCGCCGCTGATCCACGCGCAGGGGTTGGACAAGACAATGGGGACATCCCGAGTTTTCACAAAATTGCACGGTGAATTTCGACGTTCACGCTGAAACTCGGATGCTACGCTCGGCTGCACAATACGGGACTTATAAACAATGTTTCCATTATGTTGTCTAGCCTCTGTGTATTGCACTGTGCATCGTGGAAGCTAGCAATTGATGCAACCTGCTTCGTGTTTCAACGTGTGTAAGGGGATATAGGCTGCAGTTGCATTGCGAATTCGGACGAACTGCTCCGACGAACGGTTTTTCAGTTTCGAATAACAGACACATGATTTTCTTCTTTTCCAGTGTTTAACCGTTTAAATACGGAACAAATGCGGATCGTATAATTTGTACATGCTCGATTGCTTTGACGCAGAACGGTAGTTCACGCGAACACGCGTCCAGTGTAATCGCAGCCTTACACGGAATCGATGCGGAGAAGCTGGGCGGAAGGATGAACGGTGGACGTCTCGAACGTGCCCGAGACAGTGGCGAGCGGCGATGGAAAGAGAAGGAAAGGAGCGACGACTTCCTTCTGTGAGTGCCGGAACGTCGTCCGTTACGACGGTTCCGTGGCACCGCGAACAAAACGGGCCCCGATCCCTTTGACACGTCCATTTTCGACGAAAAGGAGAGAGCGTCCATTACCAACGGGAAGAATCTACCGTCGCGAATCTTTTCCCTCGCGAACAGGACCGACGGCCGGTGAAAGCGAAAGAATCCTCCGGCGATTGACATTTAAGAACGTCCCGGAGGACGACGCTGATAGTCCCGGCGTTGACTTTCGCTGTGAACTTGTCATCGGCGGCCGGGCAATTAGCAGTGCGCCCCGGCGAATGACATTTCGATCGGGACCGAAGCGAAAAATGCCGGAAGGCATAAAGTTTAATTAGCTAGATTCACCCGATAGATTGCGGCTTGGATCAGGTGGGACGGCTACTTGAATATCCAGTTCCGTGGCTGATTATTGAGCCCGTTTTGTTCTGTCACGATTATTTCCATCGGCAAAAAGGAGAACAATTCTGGGCCTAATTGGTGATTCGCTAAACCGTTTCCTGATATTAACGAGGGGATACGTTGATCCGGTGTGCGCGTTGGCTGGCAACTTCGATACATTGATGCTTTGATTAAATCAATTCTGTATCTAGGAAACTTGAAGCTAAAGAAAAAGATGTCGACTGGGAAGAATTATTAAATTATTGAAAGTGTCCTAGCACTACGACCCTCGGCAGCTTCTTTTGTTTCTTCTTATCTAACTTTCTGACGACATCGCACACGTAGAGCACAACGGAATCGTCTGTCCTACAGTCAGCCGATCCCAGGTGCAGTCGCGTTAGCAATTCGGGCTTATTAAGTTTACAGGTATCGGCACGAACGTTATTACTCTTTCGGCGAGTCGCAGAGGCGAGCGGGCGAATCTCGAACGTAAGAATCTTTCGTGGGTCACGTCTGTTCCAGACGTTTTGAAATTCGAGGCAGCTTCGCCGGTCCTTCCAGGAGCTGTCCGCCGCTGCCTCCGTCATCTCGAACTCTCCTCTTCGCGGTACCGTGGAACATCAGCCTTCGCGTGTGATGTAATTCGTCACACGCACGGTAGCAGCGGAATATTTGTTTCGTACCTAAGTCGCCTTGAACTCGGCTGTGCCCGTTGGACCACACGTTCAGCCGAGTTCCGTGACTGGTCGAGCATCGTGTGTACATTCAGACAGCTAATTGCGTGAACTGTTAGGTCATTCTGTAAACCAGTGTCGAAATCGCTGTCGTGTTTGCTTCTTCGTCGGCGAGGCTGTTGGAAACAGTTGTAGATTCAACATAGACTGATTGGCCGAGTTACAGGCCTCGATACGCAAAGTGGTTCATTGATAGAATTAGAAGAGATTGTGTAGCATTCGATTGGAACTATGTTTCTAATTTATCAGACGAGCAGTAGACAACAGGTCTAACGAACGATATTGAAACAATAGAGAAAGATATCTACTAGAGAAACGAAGGACACCGAGGCTGCAACGTATAATCCAGCATTATCCATCAAGCTAACTTTTTCCAAAGTTCATTTCCATCATCCAGCACACTCGCAGGCCCAACACCGCGACCCATTCATTATCCCCAGCCGGCATGTGTCCGCGTAACGATAGAAATTGTCCAGAAAGTACTGTTATCTTCCGTCCCCTGTAACATTATAACGCTACTGTATACACGGAGGAGCAATGCATCACGGCGCGTATCTCGCCAGATAAACCCGTGGTATGTGTGAGAAGGTATTGATATCATCGCCGTAGCCGTAACGCCCGTTCTCCAGGAATCCAATCCCGGCCCGGCCTGAGAACCCCTGCTCGCTGGAACGAGCTAACGAACGACATCATTCGTCCAATATGGAGAACCAGATGTTTCCTTGAGCCCGAAGGTCGCGGCGAGCGCGTTTCTTTTCGCCACTTCCTCGCCGAACTTCCCGGCCATCCTCTCGTTAGCTCTACAACTTTCGCCTACTTCTTAGCGCGTCGCCGTTCAAATTCCCCGAGCACCATTAGCCTTCGAAACATCAAAGGGAGGCCGACGGAATGGCATAGGCCAGGCCTACGTGTGTCCGTCGTTCGATCAGGCCGCTCGATTCGCTCGCTAAATCGCGACAGCGTGCGCCCGGTACGTAAACTCCTGTGAAAGCGTCCTTGTTCGCCGGGGCACGGTCATCTTTGCGGTTAACTGGTAGCCTGGCTCGTGCAAGAGGGAGGAGTCGGGAACTCTAAGCTGAACGAGCAAGCCCTTTTAGTGGCCTCTTTGAACCGGGATCCGCAGCCGGGGCTTATGCCAGCCGGCTCGCTCGCTGGCTGCCTCGCTCGCTCGCTCGCTGGCTCGCCTGCCTACGTAGCTGGCGATGGTGCATCGACCGTCCCGCGTTGTAAACCGCTGGTCACCATCCCGTCCTCGCCAAGTACGAAACCCGCGGCTACCATACGTGGTGGTAGCGCGGTGTGCTACCACCGCCTCGGCCTTCCAAGATTGTAAACAGCCCGGCAAGAACCGGGGAAACCAGACGATGGGTAACGCTGGTCCCAACCGATCCCTCGCGGCTCCGTTCCTCGTCCTCCCCGCGTACGCCGGGGCACGCTTCTTTATCATACTTCTTTCTTTACCGGTGAGGATCGCCCAGGTGCGCCGTGTCGGTATTAATCCACGCCCTTCGACGTGCCTACGCGACCGGTGTTAAGGGGTTAGACCTAGACGCTGTTAGGCGACCGGAGATGGAGCGAATCGCCGACTGGACGGAGCTGCTCCGATCGCTGTACTCTGTTTTTTGGGAAACCTGCGCCAATCTTGCGGTTGAAACTGTTCGAGGTGCTTTGGGTTCCTCGCGCGTGGGAAAAGGATGACTGTTTTGGGAATGGGCGTGACTTGTGGTGGTCACGGAAAATTATTTCTCATCGGAAAGAGTTGTCTATCGATAAGGGATACAGAGTGTTTTTAGGGACAGTAGCGGTTATGCGAAGGTGGAATTTTGTAAAGTAGGCGTGGCCTCGGGCGACCCCCAAACATGAGCCACCCCGTAGCCGCTGAAACCGCAGGAGTACTAAAGTTACTCCCATTTGTTTCATTACCGCTCATCCTCCATTCATTTCACAACGCTCGTCTTCTTAGCTTCGTTAATTTACAACTCGGTCGTATTTCCACGCCGGACAACAGACGAAAACGCGAGCGGACAGCCAGGATCCAGGGCTGTAACGAGCCATTAAATAACAATGGATTAGGACAGAGTCCCTTAGAGGGCATATATTAAGAAGGTAATGAACCGTCCCCGCGTTTCAGCGCTCGCTCTTACCTCGCCGCGACGCGGGAGCGTAATTCCTTACGTAACGGCGATAAATTAACGGCGGAAAGATGCGCGGCGGCCGTGTCCCCGTAAATCGCGCCTACTTTCGCGGCACGGTGCACTCGATCGCGGATGTTACCAGCTATTAGACCGGGCCGGAGTCAATGTCACGACACCGCGAAACTTCTTTCGCGTTGGTTCACGATTAGCC